GCCACTCATCCCCAAGCCTGTAGTGCTGTATCTGAAGGAATATTTCAGATAGATGAAGGAATATTTCACTTTTTCACAGCAACGGTGATAAAAAGTAATGCAAGAAGTCCTTAAAGATCTCCATTATTTAAAGAAATTTGCTGAATGACTAAATTACTCCCTACACCTTTTTTTTCAGTGTCTACGAAGAGCGTGGAGTCGCCAAAAGCAGCTCCCAAGGTTGGTGTGAGGGTGCTCGAATTGGTGGGAATTGTGATTTATTCCTCACACCCAGCTCCTTCACCTCAGTTCATCGCCATTGCCGTGCTCTGGGCTTCCTCTGGCAGTGGTGTAATTACAGCGGGCTTTAATTGGCTTTGCATTTTTGCTGGGGTAGCGTGACACAGCTTGAGGTGTGTGTGGAGTTAGCTCAGGTGCAGCTGCACCCACAATTAAGCAGTCATTAAGGTAATTACTGGACATAATTAGAGAAAAGGGCTAAGAACCAATTGTTTACTTTGCTCTGCTGTTAAAGGGTGAAATGATCGTTGGTAATTGCAGGTATCAGGACATGATTTTAAGTGCTTTGTTCAGTTTAATGGTGATTTTACATAGTAAAAGAGAAAAGCTCCCTGCAGGAAACCCAGTGTGGTTTAGAGCTGCAGGAACCTCAGTGCTGGTAATAAATGGGAATAATTCCATTGTCTGCAGGAACTGGAGGATATCTGTGTCGTTCTGATCTCAAATTTGCCCGAGAAAGCCTATTCTGTGGAGGAGGTTTCCAACCTGGCCAAGCCCTTCGGGGGCCTGAGGGATGTGCTGGTCGTGTCGTCTCATAAAAAGGTACCTCATTGGGATTTGGGGATGGTTTCTGTCCAGCCAGGCACAAATGCATTCACAGCAAGTGCAGGTGTGATGATGTAGAGTGGAAAGCATCGAGGGGAGATGCTTTTAATGAGTTACAATTAAACAAAGGGATTGTTTCCTGTCTTTGAAAAGGCGTACGTGGAAATCAACAGAAAATCTGCGGACTCCATGGTGAAGTTTTACACCTGCTTCCCCATGTCGCTGGATGGAAACCAGCTCTGCATCACCATGGCGCCTCAGTACAGGACCGTGAAAGACGAGGTGAGTCAGGAAACGGGTTGAAATGCCAACATTGCCCTACAGAGCGGGATTTTGTGTTTAAGCTGACCTATCCACTGCCTGTTTCGTGCATTCTGGCTCTTAAATGGCTTTTTTTGGGATAAAGAATTAACACAAATGGCAGAGGTGGCATGCTTTGATTTTTATTAAAGCAGTGGCTGCTGCTCGTGAAGCTGTATTTTACAGTTCATACCTTACCATGTCTTCTTTTCTCTTTCAAGGAAGCAATATTTACCGGTATAATTAAAGATGCTGACCCTAAGGTGAGTTATTGGCAGTCTGCTTCCTCCACATCCTATCAAAATACACAGCTTTAAATTGGAATTAGTGCCCTCCATAGTGAAATGGCAGCTAATTGAGTTGTTGTCTGAGCTTTCTGTGAGTCAACAGTTTACACACACGTTCGTGGGTGAATGAGCAGGGAATAGGATGAGTAAAGGCTCGCTTGGTTCAGCTCCGTGATGCGTGAAGTGCACGGTGTTAAACATTGATTTTAAAGGGACTCCTTTGAGACCTTTCCCTTCTGCTGTGGGTTTTTCCACGTTCTACCAGCGGAGGTGGTGCCACCCCTTTTCCTGCTGTTTGAAGCCCGGATATTTTGGTTTAGCGATCAAAATGACCTGGGACCGGGCAGTGCAGAGTGGCCCTTCCTGTCCCTCCTGCTCCCTCCCTGCACACAGCGCAGGCTGGGGGTCACAAGGGGTTTTTATACGGTGTTGGTAGAGGGTAATGGAATTAGAGCTTTGGGTGTAATGAAGATATGTAACAATAAATAGAATAGAATAGAATATATAGCATTAAATGGAATAGGATAGAATAGATGACAGAATATATAGCAATAGATGGAATAGAATAGGATATATAGCAATGAATGGAATAGAATAGAATAGATGACAGGATATATAGCAATGAATGGAATAGGATAGAATAGATGACAGAATATATAGCAATAAATGGAATAGGATAGAATAGATGACAGAATATATAGCAATGAATGGAATAGGATAGAATAGATGACAGGATATATAGCAATGAATGGAATAGGATAGAATAGATGACAGGATATATAGCAATGAATGGAATAGAATAGAATAGATGACAGAATATATGACAATGAATAGAATAGAATGTATAGCAATAAATGGAATAGAATAGATGACAGCATATATAGCAATAAATGGAATAGAATAGAATAGATGACAGGATATATAGCAATAAATAGAATATAATAGATGGCAGGATAGAATAGAATATGTACCAATAAATTAGAATAGAATAGATGACAGGATAGAATAGAATATGTACCAATAAATAGAATAGAATAGAAGACAATAAATAGAATAGAATAGATGACAATAAATAGAATAGATGACAATAAATAGGATAGGATAGAATACAATAGATGACAGGATAGGATATGAATAATTAGATTACCATTATACCTTAATATAATACATAGTTAACTATATAATAATCATGTATAGAAATAGAAGATAATAAGATAATGTAATATTTATAATAATTATAATATATAGCAATCATTATATAGTATAATATCCAATATCTAGTATACAATATGCAGTATCTAGTATATAATCTAGATACCATTTTTGGGGTGTTGTTGGTCGAGGGTCAGTGGCTGGGTCTGGGTTTGTCTGGGCCTAAACATTTGGCACAAGGACATCACCAGAGTGACCGTAGGAGCAGCAGCACCCACAGATAAATCGTATTTGGGTAAAAAGCGCCATGCAGACAGCCCTGCCAGCAAGAAATCACTCTGAGAGACCCCAAAAGCTTGGATTTCTGATTGTAAATGTGCCTGGGGAGATCTGCTTTCTCCTCGGGGTGCGTGGGTGGCACCGCACACATCTGGGTCCTCGCTGCCAGCCCTGCTGCCAGGTCCTGTGTGTGCTGCTGGTGGGGAAGTGCTGCTGCTCTGCTCCTTTGTGTCATCACAGACCGCTCAGGTGAACCGAACTCCGGCTTAAAAAGCAGATTTGGAGTCCTTTGGATGGGTTTCTGTGCCCTGATTTATTTACAGTCTGACTTGATAGCGTCAGCTTTTCAAGATAGTGAATTTTGCTCAACTTCAGCTGTATCTTGCACCGTTCCCTGAAAAGACTCGTACTGGTTGAGTTAAAAATGTGTGATTATTCAAAAATAAGACACCCAGTCCTTTTAACTCCCTTATTCTTTACTGGGAAGCGCAGCTGATGCTTTCGATCCACTGCACAGGAAACTGGAAAATCTGGTGTGCACATGGGAGTGTGAGCACTGGATGTGTGTGGGTGAGACCCGAGTGATGCAGAAGCCGTCGAACCCCGTTCAGTGGCTGCTATAAAGTGCATTACGAAGGTAAAGCAACTCTTGCCATCCCTCCTTTTTTAGGTGAACACCGCAAACATCCACCATCAGTTTGTGCACCTGGGGAACCTGCCCAACGACGGCTACCGGGAGCTCGAGGCCGTCTGCGTGGGGCTTCGCTTCGGGAAAGTGGAGCATTACGTTATACTGAAGAATAAAAACAAGGTGAGGAGGGCTTTTCTGGGGGGAAAAAACCCTAATAAATAGGGGTTTCTTCATCCTCCAGCAGCAGGAACGTGCTGTGAGTGAGAGATCAGGGTGTCTGGCTCTTTCCCACTCATCCTGAGCAAGAAAGGGGTGGTTGTACTTGGTGGGGGTTGTGGGGAAGGGAAAAACCAACCCAACTTTTGGTTGTTCGCTAGGGTGAACAGTGCAAAAACAGCATGGGAAACAGGGGAAGGATTGTATTGATTGATTTATTTTATGAACTAGTTTTAGTTCACTGTGTGTGTGTGTGTATATCTATAAAAATGATTTAAATGGACCAGTGCTCCCATTATTATGAGCTGTTTTACGTGTCCAGCTGCCAATAAACCATAGCAGAGGTGAAAATGCTTTTAAGAGATGTTTTCCTGTAGCCAAAGGCTTGGTCACACGTGGGTAGGGAAACTCCAGACTCCACTGCTTTGTGATAAAGTAAATAAAGACAATTCCAGACAGCAGAGATGTCAGAAGGAGGAGCCTCCATCACTCTCCATAGGCAAGAACATTGAATTAATTAAAAAAAGCTGCAGGTGATTTGAATTTGGTGCCGTTGCAGGCGATCCTGCAGCTGGACAGCGTGAAGGCGGCGCGGTTGATGCACAGCTTCCTGCGGCAGTACCCCTACAACATGGGCGAGCACACGCTGACCTGCACGCTGTCGCCTCGCGGGGAGGCCGCCCAGGTGAGAAACCTGTTCTAAACTACACCTCGTGTGGTGGAATCGCACACCCAGCCCGTGCAGAGCAGCTGCTGGTGCTGGTGTCCGTATTTCCAGGGTATTTGCTGTCTTTTTGGGGTGTGAAAACCATGCAGCAGCGGGGAACTGCGTTGTGGGATGTGGTGTGGAGTGGTAGGAGTTGGAAGGGACCTGCAAAGCTCAACCCCTGCCAGAGCAGTCACACAGGAACACGGCCAGGGCTTTGGGTGTCTCCACACAAGGAGACTCCACAACCTCTCTGGGCAGCCTGGGCCATGCTCCATAACCCTCACACTCACAAACTTTGGCCTCATCTGCAGCTTGAACCTCCTGTGCTCCAGCTTGGGACCATTGCCCCTTGTGCTGGCATTGGCCATCCCAGAGCAGAGCCTGGCTCCTTCCTCCTGACACTGCCCTTTCCCAATGGATCCCCAGGAATGAGGCCACACCTCAGGCTCCTCTGCTCCAAGCTCCAGAGCCCCAGCTCCCTCAGCCGCTCCTCACCAGGAGATGCTCCCCAGTGTGTGCAGGGGTGTTTTGTTCTTTTTTAAATATATTTAATTTTATATTTTTCGGTAATTTCCTGTACGAGCTCCATTCTTGAAGCTCTCATTCCCTGTTTGCTGCTGCTCCTTTGCAGTGGCATTGGCGCTGCAGGGCATCCTGGCTTTTTCCCCTTTATCTTTATTCCTCACAAGGGAAAGTTTAACTGCAGGTACCTCAATACCTGCGACGCCCGCTCTGCGCTGACGCCTCTGAGAGTCCTTGCTGCTGACCCCTGGGTTTTGTCTTTCAGGCGGACGCCGCGAGAAAGGAAGCGAGGAAAGAGGAGCCAGGCAAGGGCAGGTACGGCTTCCACCTCTTGAAGGTTATTTTTATGTATCTCTTGGTTATGGGATGGGTTTCCACGGTGAGGCGTGGTCTGAGCTGGCAGTGAGACCCAGCATCACCCGCTGTCATTTCTGTAGAGCTTTTCTGTGCAAACAAATGGGGTGAAATCTCATTTTCTGTGTAGTTTGTCATTATTGTACTAATTTGGCCAGGGTTTTACCTGTACATTTAGAAATACCCATTGGTAACGCAGTTTTTTGCTGTATTTAACCAGAAGCCATTGCTTTATTTCATCCTCCAGTGCTTTCCTCTCTCAGAGCCCCTGGCTCTGTTTCCAGATACTCAAAATAACCCAAAACCTCCGTGTTTAACTCATTAACAGGAACTTCCTGCTGTGGTACGGGTCCTGAATTGATATTTTAAAATGTTTAGATGCTGTAGTAACATCAGACCCTGGAAATGGTCCATTTAAAATTGCTTTATAGACATTGCTTGTAGTAAGATTTCCGATTGTGGAGCAACTGTTGGTTTTAGAGTCTTGATGACGGTATTTTTTATATGAATAGATGATGGTAAGGGTTTTTGTTAGGAAACGTGACTTAAAACACCTTCTGTCACTCAAATCCATATTTTTGGGTAAGCTTTAGCATTAGAAGAACCTAAAGCAAACAGCAAAGCTGTGTAACATTGGTCCTGAACGGCAGTTTTGGGTAGTGCCGTTACACTGCCGTGGTGGTTACTGCATTTCCCGCCCCTGTTTCTTTCAGAAGTCAAGGTGGGCAGTCCTGATTGAATGAAACTGAACTATTTTGGGAGCATTTGGGATCTGAGCCATCCAGGGGGCAGAGGTGCAGGTAACCCCTGATCCCAGCCTGCGGGCTTCAGTGCAATGCATCAAAACGGGTGATTCTGGCCTGAATTTTCCTTATCTGAGGAAACTGTCTCCTCCTTGCAGCCTTTGTGTCCTGCCCAGTTCCTCTTTTGAGTTACATTGTATAGGAAGCAGTAAATACCTTCAATATTCTGATACATGGGAAGGTCTCGTCCTGTTTCAGGGCAGCAAAGGGGTAGGGATTTGCTTCCTTCGACAGAAACTTCCCGTGGCCAAGGGCTGCCCTGTGCAGGAGCCAGGCACCAGGGGTTGGTTTTGCCCTCTGTTTTCTGTGCAGTAAATCCCAACTGCGAGAGGTTTGTGGTACCGAGAGGGATTAAACCGAGGCATAAAACTCATCAGCCGTTATCCTCGGTGTTTGTAACGTTTTAACCCCAATGGGCCACATTTCCAGACGCTAAACACTAACGCGTCTTGGCATCGGGAGGTTACTGGTGACTGTGGAGTTCTCAACATAGCTTGGTTTCTTCTCTTTGTCCTTAAACCCGTTTAGCTCTGGCTTGAAGAAGCCCCCGGAGGGCTCGGGAGCGGCGCACGCAGCAGCTGTGAATCCCACAGGAGAGCCCAGCGTGGCCAGGAAAGGCCCCGTTCCCGTCTCCGATGCCACGGAGGCGACGGCAGCGGCACGGACGGAGCCCTTGGGGTCCCCCCTGGAGGCAGCGGTGAGGGACCCCGCTCTGAAAGCGGCAGAAACGCCTGTGGAGGGAGCGGACGCTGCCATCGACGCCGCTGCGGCGTCTCCCAAATCGGCCGATCCCGAATCGCTGGGAGCGAAGGAGGAGGAGGTGCCGCTGCCTTGCAGTGTGGGGAGAGAGGAGAGAGCCCAGGACAAGCCTGAACCGGAGCCTGCGGTGTCAGAGCAGGGAGTTAAGGAGACAGAGGAGGATTTGGGTGCTCCAGCCCCAGCAGAGGGGCTGGGTGGTGTGGTTGGGGATGTGCCCCCAAGCTGCGCTGTGGGAGCAGCAGCCGGGGACGCGGCAGGGACCATCCCTGAAGCGGTGCCCCCTGATTCTGCTTCAGTGGAGACGGGGCTGTCTGTGGTGACACTGCCAACCAAGGGGTTTTCTACTGAGAAAAACCCCCTTTCTGACGCTGGGCAAAGCGAACTCGAGGTGTTTGTGAGTGAGGTAACGGAGAAGGAACCTGCCCTTACCAATGGGGCAGCCCTGGAGAGGAGCCTGGCCCCAGATGGAGCAGGGACAGAGGTGGACCCAGAGGAGTCTGTGCTCCAGGCTGCGGAGGAGAGCCCCGAAAATCTGCTCAAAACTGGGGTGGAGATGGAGAAGAGACTGGAAAAATCTGTGGCCAAGATGGGCGCTGCGGTGGAAAACGCTGCGAGCGGTGGCAGCGAGGAGAGTTTAACCAAAGCGCTTCAAAATAAAGCAGAGAAAACTGATGAGACCTGCAAAGAAGTCGTGCTGAGCTCCTCTCTGTCTGTCAAGGAGTCTTCCTGTGTGGGGAAAGTGATTTTGAAGGCCGTGGTGTCCCTTCCGGACATATCCAAATCCAGGATCCCAGTGTGGAGAAACGAGCCTTTCCTGTGTAAAGGAGAGGAGCAGAAAGCGCCCTGGAAGCCCGAGACCCAAATCCAAGCGGCGGTGGAGAAGAAAATGGCATCGAAAGAGGGGGGACATCCCCGAGCCGGTGGCAGCAGCATCCCGGGAGACGGCAAATGTAGAAACGGGAGCGGGAAGGGCATCGGGAGCGGGAGGAGCGCGGTGCAGCCGGAGAAGGACTCGCGCATGGAGACCAGGGCCAGCGCGAAGCAGTGGCAGGAGGGGGACAGCAGAGCCTGCGGAGCCAGGGCGGACACCAAGGTAACGCTGCAGGTACCGAGTACGGGACGGTGACGGGGCGTCCCCTGCCCCTTCCCGTAAATCCCAGCTGGGTTTGGGGTGCGAGGTGGGCACAGCGAGGTGTGGTGCGCAACCCAAGCACCTGACTGGTGTGGAAACGCTGCTGGGAAAAGGTGGCGGGAAGTGGTTTTGAAGAGGGTCTTTGCTCCATGGTCTTGGATTGGAATTAATGGGATTTCTGTCCATTTGTGAGCTGGTATTTGCGCTGTCGAGGCCTGCGCGGCCCCTGGTTGCTGAAGGATGCTCCTGAGCAAGGTGTGACCTGAGGCTGTGCTGGACTGAGCTGCTGGTGTGGTTCTTATCACAGAATCACTGAACATGAGGAGTTGAAGGGCCCTGGAAAGCTCCCCCAGAGCAGGATCACCACAGCAGTCACACAGGAACATGGCCAGGGCTTTGGGTGTCTCCACACAAGGAGACTCCACAACCTCTCTGGGCAGCCTGGGCCATGCTCCATAACCCTCACACTCACAAACTTTGGCCTCATCTTCAGCTGGAACCTCCTGTGCTCCAGCTTGGGACCATTGCCCCTTGTGCTGGCATTGGCCATCCCGCAGCAGAGCCTGGCTCCTTCCTGCTGACACTGCCCTTTCCAAATTGATAACATAACCATGTTTATGTGCCATGCGAATGGGGAGCAGCCACGTGAACAGCTCCAAAAAGCTCATTAGGGGAGAAATAGCTGGATTTTTGCATTATTGACTCGTTGACTTTAACTGATTCCTGTCTGATTTTGCAGGCTCCTGTTGGTGCCAATGCTAAAGCACCGAAGGGCAGCCCTGGCGGCAGCGCGAAACAGAAGGAGGTGAGGATGGGGCTGTCAATGAACCTAAATTCGGATTGTGCTGGAAGTGGGGCTGTGTGTGCACGAAGGATCCTCAGCATCCTGCCCTGGGGAATACTTTAAGTTGTTGTCACAGACATAAAGCGGTAAAGCAAAGCCATTTGGAGGAGAAACTCAATGCAGGAAGCGTTGGGAGGCGTTTTCTGCTGTTGGATGTAATTTATTTGGGAAAGAGAGGATGAATTAATGGGATCCTTGATTTCCTGCATGAGATCTTTATTTGCCATCGTGCCCTGGAGAAGAGGAAGCTTGGGCTGAGGCCTTGTGGCTCTTTATTAATGGTTTTGTACACAAAAGGTCGTCAGAACAGCTCCGTCCATGGCACCTCCTCCACCCAGAGGTGTTGCCAGTGCCTTGTGCTACAGAGCAAGGGTTCCTGCGCATTGCTGTGCGTTTTTGGGTGGAAGCAGAGCTGCATCTGTGCAGGAAGGTGAAAGGAAATGCTCTCCTTTTAGACAGCTTGGACTTTGGGGAAGAAAAGCGGAATGAGGTGATCAAAATCCACATTGGTGAGTTGGTCCTCGGGTTTCTGCACCAGTGCGGGTGGATCCACGCGTTGTTCCTGCTCTTTGCTAGCTTTCAAAAAGAGAATAGTAACATAAAAACGGAATGTTTAGTGAAAAAACCCCTCACAGTTGCTCACTGAAGAAATGGAGGTGCGTATTTTGGGGTGCAGTGGAAATTTGGATGTGTTTTCATGTCTCAAATGAATTTATTGGTTGACTTAAGCACCCTTCTTATCCTCCCATCCTGATGATAACAGCTCAGCTGTTTTACAGGGAGCAAAGCACGGTGCTCTGGTCCAAATGAACATAGTGCTGTCTGTTCAGATCACATGAAACTACTGGGGTTAATTCAGCCTTTTCCTAAATTGGACACATGGCCACACACCAACTCCAGGTGCTCTCAGCCACCCACGGCCTTGAATGGGTTTTCCTTCCCAGTGCTCCTGCAATCAGCGGTGGGAGCCCGAGTGCAGGGGAGGAGGCGTTTTGGGTGCAGACACATCCAGATGCCCCAACCAACCCCTCCATGGGCAGGGACACCTAAAAACCAGCCCAGGCTGCTCCCAGCCCCATCCAACCTGGCCTTGGGCACTGCCAGGGAGGGGGCACCCACAGCTTCTCTGGGCAACCTGGGCCAGGGCCTCACCCCCCTCAAATTGAGGAATTTCTGCCCAATATCCAGTCTAAATCTCCCAAATTCCAGTCTAAAATCATCACCCCTCATCCCATCACTCCATGCCTTGGTACAAAGTCCCTCCATAGCTTTCATCACCCTACCAGGACTCACACCCCTTCCCTTTGTCCCCCACACACCACCAACCCCAGAGCCCACGAGGTTGGATATCCCCCCCCGGAGACCCCCTCACCTCCAGTTTTAAACCGTTAAACCTCATCCCATCACTCCAGCCCTTGTCAAAAGTCCCTCCCCAGCTTTCCTGTACCCCTCCAGGTCCTGGAAGGTCGCTATAAGGTCCCCCTGCAGCCTTCTTCTCCAGGACATGGAAGGACTTTGCTGGATTGAGGCATCTGATGCAGTCTCCTGGTCTATAGCACCAGCCAGCAGCGTGTGCTTAGGGCCAAGAATGAGGTCTTGCCACGAGATAATAGTATTTTTGAAGGGTACTCTGGATTTACTCAGATTTTCACTGCTCTTCTGCAAGTGAGCGCAAAAAACACGCGTGAGTATTGAGAGCATCGGCCCAGGTCTTTGAATAGACAGAAATTCTGTCTGCTCCTCTGCGTTTTTCAGAAATACTTTGGATTTCTCAAATGAATCTGCTTATTTAACACAAATGCTGGTAATGGCTGAAGGCCTGAAAGTTGTTTTTTACCCTTAAATTGCCTTTCTTCCCCCTTTCAGCCAGCTCCGGTGCGTGGACGTTTGTCACTGTGCCCCGTGTGGATGGAGGCGTTTGTGTCACTGGATGTTGAACTTGTTATATTCGCATTTTCACGCTTTTAGGAGGAAGAGCTGTTCCCGTTCAGCCTGGATGAGTTTGTCACCGTGGATGAGGTCGTGGAGGAGATGGAGTCTCCCGTTAAAATCCGCCGAAATCCTCCCCGGGGCAAGAGAAAAGGAGCAGCCAAAGCCAACGCCTGCGCCGAGCTCACCTCCAAGAGGAGGAAAGGGAAGAGTTCGCTTCCCCGCGTCGCCGAGAGCCACCTTGGCTTTGTCACCTTGGATGAGATCGGGGAGGAGGAGGACGCAGCCGCGCAGCTGATGGGGGCAGCCAATTTGGAGGCGCTGGGCGACCCCCAGAGCCTGGTGGTGGTGGACGAGGTGATGGAAGAGGAGGAGGCGGTGCCCGAAGCGAAGGACCCACAGATGCTGGTGACTCTGGATGAGCTCTGTGAGCAGGAGGAGCTCGGTGCTCCTAAGGACGTCCCCAGGGCGGGTTTTGAGGAGCAGGATTTGAAAGCCGAGCCCTTGGTGACCGTGGATGAAATCGGTGACGTGGAGGAGCTGCCCCTGACCGAGCCAACCCACCTGAGCGCGGAGGACGCCCCGAAGCCCAAGGACGAGGGCAAAGCGGTGGCCGAGGACGCAGGTGATGGCGCCTCCTCGCAGGTACCCGACGACCCCAACGCCCTGGTGACGGTGGACGAGCTGCAGGAGGACAGCGAGGACAACCCCCTGGTGACCGTGGACGAGCTGAACGACGACGAGGACGATTTCCTGGCCGACTTCAACCGCCTCAAGGAGGACCTGAACTTCGTCACCGTGGACGAGGTGGGAGAGGAGGACGAGGAGGAGGAAAGTGCTTGTCTGGGGGAAATCCCAAACGGGGACAAGGACAGCGAGGACACTGGTGCTGCTGCAGGGCCACGGGAAGAGGAAGAGGCTGCAGGGCCAGAGGAGGACATCGTTGCTGCTGCAGGCCCAGAAGAACAGGAAATTTTGGGAAATACGAGTCCGGAAGAAGAAATTATTGCGGATACAAAGGCGAAAGGTAAGGAGCATCTTCACAGAGTCACAGCGTATGGGGAGTTGGCAGGGACCTGGAAAGCTTCCACCGCTTCTCCAGGCAGCCTGTTCCAGTGCTTGATGGGATGGATGATGCCACCACCTTTGGAGAAACAATAGTTTAGC